TGACCCTGATTTTAGTGGAATTTCTTTGAGTTTCTCTCTATTTAATTTGATGTTCGCCTTTGGCTTGCTGTATATTGCTTTTATTATACTTAGATGTGTCACTGTACTCCTGATCTCTCCAAGGCTTTTATCATGAAGTGGTGTGGAATTTTGTCAAAGGCTTTTCAGCATCTAATGAGATGATCATGAGGTTTTCTCTTTCAGTTTGTTTATGTGGTAGATTACACTGACAGATTTTCATATGTTGAACCATCTCTGCATTTCTTAATCATGGTAGATGATGTTTTTGATGAGTTCTTGGATTTAGTTTTCCAGTACTTTATTGAGTAATTTTGTATTTATGTTCTAGATCGGTCTGTAATTCTCTTTTTCTCTTGAGTCCTTGTGTTGTTTGGGTAGCAGGGTGACTGTGGCCTCATAAAATGAAATTGGCAATGTTCCTTCTGTTTCTATTTTGTGGAATAATTAGAGGAATATTGGCATTAGCTCTTCTTTGAAAGACTGGTAGAATTCTGTGCTGAAACCATCTGGCCTGAGGTGCTTTATTATTATTATTTTTTTTGGTCTTGATTTAACTTTGGTAAGTGATATTTATCAAGAAATTTGTTCATTTCTTACAGATTTTCCAATTTTTGGAGCACAGGCTTTTGAATATGACTTAATGATTCTCTGGGTTACCTGGAAGTCTGTTGTTATGTCTCCCTTTTTGTTTCTGATTTTGTTAATTTGAATATTCTCCTGCGTTTTAGTTAGTTTGGATAAGGGCTTGTTTATTTTATTGATTTTCTCAAATAACCAACTCTTAGTTTCACTGATTCTCTGTATTGTTCTCTTTGTTTCTATTTTATTGATTTCAGCCCTCAGTTTGATTATTTCCTGCCTTCTACACTTCTTGTGAATATGCTTCTTTTTGTTCTAGAGTTTTCAGGTGTGCTGTTAAGTCAGTAAGATGAGGTTCCTCTAGATCTTTAATGAAGGTATTTAGTGCTATGAACTTTCCTCTTAGCACCGTTTTCATTATGTCTCATGAGTTTGGGTATGTTGTGCATCCATTTTAATTGAATTTTAGGAAGTCTTAAACTTCTTTCTTTATTTCTTCCTTGGCCCCGTGATAACTCAGTAGAGAGCTGTTCAGTTTCCATAAGTCTGTGGGCTTTCTGTTGTTATTGAAATCCAGCTTTAATCCATGGTAGTCTGATACAAAACAGGGATTTATTTCAATTTTATTTTCATCTGTTGAGACTAGCTTTGTGGCAGAATATGTGGTCAATTTAGGAAATAGATCCATGAGGTGCTAAGAAGAAGCTGTATTCTTTGGTTTTTGGGTGAAATGTTCTGTAGATATCAATTAGGTCCATTTATGTCATAATGTTTGTTCTGTTATTTCTCCCTTTAGATTCTGTCTGGATGATCTGTTTGTTCATCAGTGAGAGTAGGGTGTAAAAATCTCTCACTAATATTATGTAGGGTTCAAAGAGTGAATTAAGCTTTAGTAATGTTTCTTTTACAGATGTGGGTGCCCTTACATTTGGGGCATAGATGTTTGAATTGAGACATCATCTTGGTGGGTTTTTCCTTTGATGAGTATGAAACGCCTTTGTCCATCTCATTTGATTAAATTTGGTTGGAAGTCTATTTTGTTAGATATTAGGATAGTTACACCATCTTGCTTCTTAGGTCCATTTGATTGGAAAATGTTTTTCCAACCCTTTACTCTGAGGTAATGTATATCTTTGATGTTGAGGTATGTTTCTTGTATGTAGTAAAATGATTGACCCTGTTTTCATATTCATTCTGTTAGCCTGTGTCTTTTTGTTGGCGAATTGAGACCATTGATATTGAGAGATGTTAATGACCAATGATTGTTGTTTCCTGCTATGTTGTTGTTGTTGGTAGTGTGTGTATGTGTGTGTGTGTGTGTGTGTGTGTGTGTGTTTCCCTTCTTTGGGTTTTGCCAGTGTGAGGTTATCTATTGCATGTGTTTTTGTGGGTGTAGTTAACTTCCTGGGGTTGTAGTTTTCTTTCTAGTACCTTCTGTAGGGCTGTATTTGTGGATAGATATTGTTTAGATTTGACTCTGTATTTCCATGTAGTGTGGGCTGGCATCCATGGTATCTTAGAGTCTATAAGACATCAGTCCAGAACCTTCTGGGTTTTAGGGTCTCTGCTGAGAAGTTGGGTGTGATTTTAATAGGCCTGTTTTTTATATGTGACTTGACATTTTTACTCTGCTGCTTTTAATAATTTTCTCTGTTCTGTGTGTTTAGTGTTTTGATTATTTTGTGTTGAGGGAATTTTCTTTTCTGATTTGGTGCTCTGTAAACTTCTTGTATCTTTATAGGCAGGTTCTTCTTTAGGTTGGGAAACTTTTCTTCTATGATTTTGTTAAATATATTCTCTGGGTTTTTGAATAGGGCTTCTTCTTCTATTCCTATTATTCTTATATTTGGTCTTTCCATAGTGTCCCAGATTTCCTGGATTTTTTGGATTTAATACTTTTCTTGACTGTTGAATCTATTTCCTTATCTTAACACCTGAGGTTCTATCTTCCATCTCTTGTATTCTGTTGGTGATGCTTGCATCTGTAGCTCCTGTTCACTTATCCAGACTTTCCATTTCCAGGATACCCTCTATATTTTCTTTATTGCTTCTGTTTTTGTTTTCAGGTCTTGAATGTTTCCTTCATCTCTTTGTTTGCTTTTTCTTGGCTTTCTTTTAGGAATTTATTGATTTCTTCCAATTTTTTGTTTGTCTTTTCTTTAACGGATATTGTTTTGGAGGCTGTCGGTCCAGCCCGGCCTCAAACTCACAGAAATCTGCCTGCCTCTTCCTCCTGAGTGCTGGGATTAAAGGCATGCGCCACCAAGGGATACTTTTTCATATCCTCTTTAAGGACCTCTATCATCTTCATAAAGTCATTTTAAGATCATTTCCTTGTGCTTCCGTTGTTTTGGATTGTTCAGGTCTTGTCATGGTAGGTTCTGGTGGTGCTATATTGCTCTTCCTGTTAGCGACTGTGTTCTTACAGCTGTGCTTGTGTTTGGGATGATTATAGGTCTAGGTGTAGATGCCTACATTTGTCTGTTTTGGATGGGTGTTTTTCCTTTTTCCTCTCTGGTTTTCTGGCCTAAATGGCTAAGGGAATTGGTGACTAGTGTGTCTTCAGGTCCAGTAGGTTGTCAGCTCTGGGGTTCTTGGGACCTAGGTTTCCTATATCTGGTCTCGCCTCTGGTAAAGCCAAAGTCTCCTTCCAAAGTTATAGACCAGGATATGGAGCCTAGGGGAAGGGGTGCAGTCTGGGGTCCTTAGGGCAAGTCTGGCCTCTAATATAGCTGTTGGGGCAGGGGTCCCCAAATCCAGCCTGTGCTACAGTAAAGCTGAAGTCTGCTTCTGAAGTTTTAGGCTAGGATACAGTGTGGGGTTCCTAGATCCTGCCTGGTGTCTGGTAAAGCTGAAGACTTCTTCCAAAGTAGTAGGGTGGGGTATGGAGCCCAGGATTTGGGGGTACAGTCTGGGATTGTTGGGCAGGCTTGAAGGGCATTGTCTTAACTGGAGTTCTTAGGACCAGTCTGTCTTCTTGTAAGGCTGCAGGGGCTGTGGGCCCTAGTAAGGAGCCCAAAGGAAGAAGTGCAGTCTCTAAATATATATGTCCCTTTTCTGCTGGTTTTGTTCATTGCTGTCTGTAGGTCTTACATAGGATGCGGCCCATAGATAGAGTAAATGGCATGGTTTCTCAACAAGCAAACATCTCCCAGAGAAACAAAGAATCATTTTTCTTGACTTCGTATTTTATTTCCCTGTGTCTTTTTGTATTGTCTGCATTATTTGATTTTGATAATGTGACTGGATATCTTTTGTTATTCTCTAATTCTTCTCAATGGTAAAAACTTTTATAGGGTAAAACTACTTTATATTTGAATTTCTTACAGTTCATAGAATACTACCTTGGAAATCATGATATGAGTAAACCAAAATTTAAGAAAGGTGAGAATCATATAATTTTCACTGGAATAATGTACCTGCTATGAACACCAGGGCTTTCCAAAGAAACTTCTAGAACTTTAATGTATTAATTGTTAGAGATTCATAGTTTTGGGAGGTAACATTACATCACCTCCTGTTCTAAGACATTTTCCTTTGGTAGACAAAAAGCAATCACTGAGTTTATTTACTTATTTTAGAAAAATTGTACTTAGTGGAACTAAGTGTTATGGCAATAGTCCAAACCCCTGGAAATCCTCTCTGTTGGATTTTCTTCTTCAGACCACGGTGGAGCTCTTGGCCTTTTGATTACTAGACTGAGGAGTGACTTTTGGCTTTAACTGGGTCTTAATGTGTGCTGTAGGAACTGAATCACACTGTGGAGAAAGGAAAGCAGGAAGGGCAATTCTGCTCCATTCCTTCTGCCTGTTTCTTCCTCATTTCTCTACTTAAACACCACAACTTCATTTTACCACCACCTTCCTTCTTACACTCTGCCTGCCTCCAGGCCACTCACTTATTACTTAGTGTCATTTGTTAAAAAGAAAAATCTCCATTTTTTATGCCTGCACTTTCTCCCTTTACTATCTGTGTAAAATTTATCTTTATTAAGGATGACAGAGGAGAGTATTTATTTGGTATATTAAAGACACATACTCTGTAAAATGCCCTAGACAGAACTACTGATACCCAGTGAATGTGCTCTGGAGGTTTAAAAAATAAAAGACCTACCTAGACAAGGGAGAAATTTAGCAACCCAAGATGCCTGGGCATCAGTGGGCAGAAATAATTGCTAATTAGCATCCTACCAGCTTGGGAGCATTAATTGGCTTTGGGGGATCTGCTTCCTGGACCTAAAGTGTATTTTCATTTCAGTTTGCTGCATAGGATGGAAGGAGAATGACAATTACCAAACTAGTTGCATTTCAGTAATTCAACCTAATGGAGCCTTGTCATTTGAATGATTATCCAGTAGTTGGTCTTTGTTTCTCTGCCAAGTTTTGAGAAAAACAAACTCAGATATTCCTCAAGCCTGAGAAAACACAGCCTTCCCTCCAACATAGCTGAAAGAATTTGCTCATGGATCCAGGGATGCTCACAGAAGGACTACCATTCTCCATGATTGTGAGGGAGAGAGGAAAGAGGTATCGTTTGTAACATTTAATTTATGCTTCAGAATGGATCAAGCAATAATATCAAAGGGAGCATTTCAAATTGATATCCGTATTTTTTCTCCTAGAGAGAAAATTTGTCAGCCGTTTTGTGATTTATTGAGACTAAAGGAAGGCATGTATGAGAACAAGTTTGATGATTAATTAAATGAAATTACTTGAGCAGAATACCCATGATGGTGTTGTCTTCGAAGTAAGACTCACTCAAGTAAGATTGATGCCATTTTCCATCATAAGATTAATTAAACATTTTTGTTAATTGCACATAAGTCAGTGTGTTTGGGTTCTTTTCAATTGATATTCTGAAGCAGCTTCCATTTGTGTTCCTCCAGAAGTCTGCTTGGCTGCTGGTTTTCTAGCAGCCGGATTCTAGAAGCCAGATTTCTCCCATTTTATTTGTTTCAGGGTTCTCAATATTTAGTAGAGCTAACTGTGGAGATAATTATTGCAATGGCTTTTGCTTTGGGCTTTGATTTTTTAAAAATCCTGTGATCATCTTTCTTGGATGATCCTGCCATGATTATTATCAGGGCTGCCTCTTGACTCAGCCAGGCTCAGATCTTTTTGTTAGAGCAATGGTGGAAATGGAGCCGACAGCATCTGCAGCTGTGTGGCTCTGCCTGATGCCTGCCTGATTTGAGTTGTTGTGGATGGCTCAGCTACCCACTTACAAGCAGGGAAGTGACGAAAATGATTTCTTTGACTGTGTTTGACACTCTGAGGCGTTGTTAGTTCTCTAGATATCTTAGTCTCCCTTTGACAATTTACCCCAAGTCCCCATTTCTAAAGATTTAATTCCTGATGAATTCAAATTTGTCTTTTTAGGCAGAGTCTGGGAAAAGAGTATATTGCCTTTTGAAACAAAAACATAAAAACAAGGTACTTTGTGTGTCTTGGTGTGCACGTGGACCACTGACAATAGCTCACATTCTGCTAACTCTTTGTTTGAATGCCTCTTTGCAGCATGTTAAAGCCAAGCAATGTGGCTAGGCAATCGACCCCGAGCCTCTCCTCCTACAATTTCTGCACATTCGCTTTCTATATTTTTATTCCCTGGGCCAAATTCTCCATTCAGTCTGGCAAGAGTTTACATGCTACAAATAGCTCCCCTTGAATGAGGGGGAGTTTTCTAGGCTCTCATCAGAGAATGCAATTTGGGGCTGTCATTTAGTTCCTGTCAAAGCCTGCCTGAGACAATTGATATTTCAGAAATAGAGTTTATAGATGTGCAGTCTCTCTCCTAGGTGCTAAACCACATCACCGGAAAACTTCCCACAGTGGTGCTCATTAGCTTAGCCTCTCCCAGTGAACACCCTTTGACAAGCCATGTTTCAGTGCCAGGTCTTTATCTTTTCAAAAGTATTAATCTTAGAAACAGTGAAGTAAAGCATATTTCTGGGACTCCTGTAAGCTCTCCTGAAACTTCCTGTGTGCTGTTCAGTGTTCTGTGCGCGAAGTTACATAAGAGATTCCTTTTAAAGTTATTAGGAGGGAAGAAGCAGAAACTTGGCTTTCTTAACGAAACTTGGTTTGTTGGCTGCCAGGAAGTTCCAAATGCAAATAAATGTGTCGTGAGACTGAGCAATCTCAATGATGTTGCTGAAGGAATGTAGGAGTAACTGCTCCTTTGTCCTCTCATATCTACTCATCTATTGATTCAGTAGACATTGATCCAAAGATAACTGTGTTCCAAGTACCACCCAAAGTCCTGGAGAGAAAGAACATGAACCTTATTCTAAAATGGATTGCAGCCTAATGGGACAAAAATGGACAAGACGGGGAATAGGATGAACACTAAAAGATAGGGCCTCACAGGTTGTTATGGGGGAAGAAAGGGACTTCAAGCATTGCTTATAGACACCAGGGAAAGTTTCTATGATTAACCTTGGAGGAAAAGTACTGAGTGGAGTCAGGACAGAGGGCAGAGCTCTAAGGCACACAGGAAGAAAGAATGCATAGACTTCACAGATTACAGGTCATGAATGAAGCTGGAATAAGGGCAGCCCTCAAACCTCAACAACCTTACTTAGAAATTTGCTATTTTTCCTCCAGAGAGTATGGACTTGAAGATGTAGCAAACAAGATGGCAGTATAAAAGCCTCCTGGAAACCTAACAGAAGACAGCTTGGGCATGGGGCCAGGTGAGAAGACAAGAGTTCATACAGCGAGTGGCTGGACAAATAACAGGCAATACAGAAGTGACTATGCTAAGGCTAGGATGAGGGGCGGAAGTTGAAACAAAGGAGGAGAGGAATAGAATTGGAGTCAACAAAACTTGTTGGACATTGGGTGTGAGGGAGCATTGTCTAGGAAGTCACCCAACTTTGCTGCCAAGGATACTAGGAATCATGAAGAATAAGGGAATTGGAAAGACAATCCCTGGCACCACACAAGTTGGGAGGCAATCCATTACATTTTATTTGTGTGGTGTCAAAGCAGCTGAGGGAAGACAGTATACAGGTCTAGACCTTAAGTGAGTAATCTTAACTGAAGACCTAGGAAATGCCAGTCTTTGAGAAAAGTAGCAAGTGTGAGGACAGACTTTTGGTGAGGAGAATAGAGGCTACCTACTCTAAGAATGGGCAGAAACACAGGAGCACTCAAGGGATCTTCAGAAAGCATGGGCAGGAAGAGAAGGATTCGTTAGCACCAATGGTGGCCCATACATTCTCTATCTTGCTTTCCAACTGATGGAGCTTTTAGAAAGTGATTGGTCCTGAGGACTCTGGTTAATCCTTGGAGTCATAATTTAATGTTATATGGAAGGTTGTAGAAATAGGAGAGATAGGTAAATGGAGGCGGTAGGTCACTGAGAGCCATGCTTTTAATGGAGATAGCTTTTCCCAGGCCTCCTTCTTCATACTCTCCTTTGCTCTTTTGCATCATGTTGTCTCTGCTAGGATGTTATGCTTGAAGCAATGAAGCCCCTGAACCTGTGAGTTAAAGCATGTCTTTCCTTATTTAGCCTGAATTTATCAATTATTTTGACACAGACAACAAAGCAACAAAAAGCTAAAATCCCACTAGCACAAATACTACCCTCTCCATGCTCCGTGCATCCCCTATTCTGTTTTCCCTATGAAGTGGAAACCCATGCAGTTCACAAGCAGACCCCAAGAGTTAGTCTCAAGACCTCACAAGAATGCTAAAGACTCCTGGATGATTAGTCAACTGCCAATCCCTGCCATGTCTCCATGCCTGCTTTAGTCAAGTATTGTCACTTTTTGCATGGGCACTGTCGGTAATTCCCAATTGGTCCTTGACCTCCATCTTGCTGTTGGATTCAAATTTACTCACATGTTTTCAATGCTAGAAATCGTCCAGTCAATCCTTTGTGTGTATGTGTTTGTATATGCATATGGGGGAATTGTGTGTGTGTGTGTGTGTGTGTGTGTGTGTGTGTGTAGGTTAAAAGTTGTGTCAAGGGTATTCTTCAATTCATTTTCGTTTTTGAGAGTGGGTCTTCCATTGAGCCTGGAGTTCACTGGTTGGTTATACACTGACTGTCTGGCTGGCAAGCCATGGGGATCCCAGCCTATTTATTAAAATTTATTTATTTATTTATTTATTAGTGTGTGTGTGTGTATGTGTGCGAGTCTTTATGTGGGTTCTGAGGATGTGAACTCAGTCCTTCATGGTTGTCCGGCAAGCACTTGATCCACGGACCCCTCTCTCCATCCCCCATTCCAATTCTTAGAGCTTTGGCTTTGAAGCTCGTCATTTCAAATTTAAACAGGCATTTTGATGTCATCCTTTTCACAAAATGTAAAGAAAGAAGTACCCCCAAACAGCTTCTGTCCCCCAGCTTCATACCACCGCCAAGCTTGCTTCCATTCCTCCAGCTTACCCTGATCCTAGAGCAGGTACAACAAGAGACACTCTGACATACTTTTTTGTGGTATTGTGCATCTACCACCTCTGTTCTGTCTTTGGCAATATGTCTGCCGCTGATGACATGGGATGTTTGCCTCCCTCACCAGGCTTTCGTGCTTGCTATCCCTTTGATTGGCAGTGAGTTCCCCCCATTCAGTTTTGATAGTTTATACAAGAAATAATGTAAAGGCAGTGAATTCTGAACAATAATGGACAATTTTTTTCACGTCACAGTTAATCTTGATCTTGTTTATAACTTTCCCCCTCAAAATGGATTTATAAAATCCTTCCCATTGCCACATTGCAGTTCAAAAAGACAGATTAGGAGAAAGAAAAGTCACCTCCAAGTGACTACATGCAGCTACAATTTGTAGACAGAGCACACTTTAGAGGCAGCCAAATCGCCTCAGAAATAAGCTTGATGACTTAAAGGTAAACTCTGAACAATTGTTGACCGAGATACTGAAAATTCTCTGTTGCTGGATTGAAAGCTCTCGTGTAAAGAAGCCGTCTTGGCAGGGTGCTGTGGTGTCAGACCCAGAAGTCTGTAAACCAAGAAGAAGATCAACAAAGCATGCAGCCCCAGGGCAAAGGGAGAAAGCACATTTGCAAAGTATCTGTGGAGAGACATTTTTTCCTAGCAAGATCTGACTGCAAGTTTCACCTATTCTGAGGTAACAAGGTGTCTTAGTTGGGAGCTCTATGGCTGTGATAAAACACTGTGATTAAAAGCAATTGGGGAAGAAGGTTTTATTGCAGATTTCAGCTCATAGATCATACCCAGTCATTGTGGGAAGTCATGGGTAGGAACTCAGGCAGGAACTGGAGGCAGGAGGAGCTGATGCAGAGGCCATGGAGGGGTGCTGCTTACTACCTGCTCATCGTGTCTTGCTCAGCCTGCTTTTCTATGTTACCCAGGACTACCTGCCAAGGGGTGGTACTGTTCCCAGTGAGCTGGGTCCTCCTACATCAATCATTAATTAAGACAATGCCTTACATACTTGCTTACAGGTCAATCTTATGAAGGTATTTTCTCAAATATGGCTAGGTTTGTGTCAAGTCGACAGAAACCAGTGAGCACAGGTTATGTGTGCCCGGGCTAACCCCCAAATTAATCATCTAATAATCTATATACAATCAATTCCAAAGTGAGCATTGATTTAGCCATTCTCGGTGGGGAAACAAAAATTTTAATCTAAAAACCTTGGTTAAAATTAAGTACAATTCTAAGTCATATTGCCGTTTGATAAGCCTGCAGAGCAAAGAACTCTATATGCCAAAGTGCTTTGAATTTTGAAAGTGCTTTATTGATGTGATAAGGATATTTATATTCTGTGACCATATCGACATAGCCAGAGAGCACAGCCAGGAGAGCAGGCAGGAGAGGAAGGGCAGTCTTTAAATTTAAATTTACACAGGCTTTGTCTGTTATTACGGTTATTGGAAAAGAGCTTCAGTCTTCTGGACAGACTTAGGAACTGTAAATCTTTTTCTAAGATATTCACTTAATGTTAACCGTGAAATCACTGTTTAATATTCATAGACTCCAACTCTTCTTGGCCACACATATAAAAGATTCTATAATTTACTTAATCTATTTGTCTTGTAGAAAATGGAATTTGGCTAGTTAATTTTTAAAGGAAGCAACAACTTTGTATTAATATATGTAAAAATTGTTCTTGCATTAGTTGGAAAATCCTTCCATTTCTTAACTATTCTTTTCTCTCTTTGCAGGCTGCCCATAAATACATGCCCTGAGCAGATATAAAACCAGTCATCGCAGGATGGGCTTGTGTGACACACTAATTTTAATTTATTGAGCATTTACTCTGTGCCAGGTGTTGCATTGCAGATGATAACAACCATCCCCTGCTCTCCCTGCTTGATTCAGATAGAGTTTAGTCAGTGGAACAAGGCCACCATGAGCAGTGCGGTTTGTCAGTGATATTCTGAGTCAGGTTCCCATGGCCTGCCTAGAGTACCTGCCTACCTCCAGTGCCAGTTCTTTCATAAGACACCTAGAGTAGGAAAGTTGAGGGGTGAGAATTTATACCGAGAGCCTAGCATATCAAGGCTCCATGCTTTCTGGAATAGTGGGCCTATTGCACTACCCTGGACAGAGCTGGCAAAGTGAATGATTGCAATAGGGTGTCAGTATGAATGTTTACAATAGGGTGTCAGTATGACTCTAGGTGGACGACTCAGAACTTCCAGAAAAGTCTGTGGTGGTGTGGGTATGCAACTACCAAAGATGGATGGCAAAGGGGGAAACCTCAATGAGGTCCGTGGGAAGCCCAGTCTCTGTTGGTCATTGCATCTGAGGTGGTGGATACCCATGGCCACAGTTGTTTAGCAAAATAACATCAGGAAGAGAAATGGAGCAAGAAACAGATTGGAGTCAGAGCCTGCTGGCCTTTCTCAGACCAGGCTTTCTCCGCAATCGTTATCTGACCCCAGAGAAAGATCTCTGCCCTCCTCTATATTGCCTCACTTCCGTGTCCCAAATTCGAAGCAACTTTCTCTTTTGGTTAATCCTAAAGTGGAGTTTCACAGAAAGCAGGTGTCTTGAAAACATTGGTTCTGACTCACTTTAGCTGACATAGTGTGTTCAATACACTTCCCAACAGTGCAATGACATAGGGTTGTCCCCAGGTTTTAGAAAGGAACAAAACCTACTGGTATAGTTTGCTTGAGGTTATACAAACACATCACTAGGTCTAACAGATTTCAGAGCCTTTGGTTTTAAATACTACAATATACAGAGAGTTTTGCTTTTTAAAAAAAGTGACAAAACAATCCCATTTTAAAAGTGCATACTTTTTTTTTTTTTTTTTTTTGCTTAGTTCCACGTATTTGATTGACCTGGATGTTTACTTCCTGGAAACCCTGGTTACTACTAGTGCTGGATTCCCTCAGCGAGCATTCTTCTCTGTTGAAATAGAGCTTGAGCTGCTTGGCTTTGAGCTGACATGCCTGAACTCACTGAGGAGGGGTGGTGAGCTGTGCCTTGCCCATTAGTTCTGACATCAGGGGCAGATCTTTTCACTGACTGTAGATGTGACTTCTCCAGCAGCTTCCAGGAAGGACTGGATACTATAATTCAGAAGTGTGAGGGGGAGGTAACATTTTGAGGGGTGACCTTTGACCAATGATAGAAGGGAGCTGAAGGAATGTGGCTGATAAATCACTCTTGTCTGTCTAGCATAGACTGTTCTGAGGAGTGCACTGCCAATCTAGAAGGTGGGTCACGTGATTGGTTATTTTATAGGAAGATGCAGTTAGTTCAGCAATATACTATTTGGTTTATGCATGCCCTTTTTCTTTTCTTCATTCTTGTCTTTGCATTTGGTATCCTTGTACTACACCTACTGTGAAGCCTTGGCCTCTAATATTTGCCTAAGACTTAGTTCTCTAGGGAACCAGCCAAAGGGCCTAAATGTAAGCAAATGCTAAGTAAATGCCAACAATAGCCTGTGTTCAATATTGTTGGAGAGGGTGATAAAAATATGTTTTTAATTTCTATTTTTGTATTAGTTTTATAGTTCACTTTTTAATGCTCAGGTTCTTTGTTCCCAAACACATTAGTTAAATTCTTAAACTAATCCTTAAATGGTCACACATTACTTGATGTGACAATATGCTATAATTATTAGTTAAAATGTTTACATTTAGAAAGTGATATCATTAAGCCAAGGGAATGAGTGGCACAGGATTTTATCTGGTGCAATGGGAAAGACATGATGGAGAAGGGAGCTGATTAACTCACATATGCACCATTGACAGTAATCTAGTCCATCCTAATAAAACAAGGGCACGTGTAAGACTTGCCTATCAGAAATCACTTTCTTACCTCCTGTTAAAAATTATGTGCTGTATCAGTACTGGGAAGGAAACAATTGTAATTGGCTTTAAAGCAGCAAGTTCATGCAGTCTTTAGAAAAAAAATGTGTAACTGTTATTCTTTGCAGTTTTTGAAAACAAATAAGGAAACAAACGAAACACTTTAACTAGATATCTGTCCTATATGTAATTGTTATGATTTGGACATGGAGTATTCCCCCAAAAGACTCACACATTGAGGACTTGGTTCCCAGATGGTGGCACAATTTAGGAATATCTGAGAATTCTAAGATCTGGGATGTATCTGAAAGATGTCATTAAGCCTGGGTGCTTGAGTGTATCTTGTCCCCGACAACTTCTTGAACTGTATCTCTTTCATATCAACCCTAAAGAAGAGCCTCTACCACACACTTTCTCCATTCTGTCTTGTCCAAGCATGTGGGGGTCAAGAAACCACATCTTGAAATACCTGAAACTGAGTCAAGACCTTCCTTCCTTCATTTGTTTCTGTAGGTATTTGGGTCACAGAGATAGAATGTTGTCTTTGCTTTCTTTTTCAGGACAGTGGGAGAATTCCTGTGTGCTAGTGCTCGGCTAGTGCTCTCCATTTATGCAGTCTAGATCTTCTTGGAGGGTAATAGCTCCACCCACAATCACGATGAGTCTTCACACATCAAGGTAACCAAGGTAATTCCCCTTCACCTGCGACTGCTCAGAGGTCCCTCACCCAGGTAATGCTAGATTCTGTCAAGTTGACAACACTAACACCATCACAATATCAATAACTCAGAAGCTGACTGGATTTAACTGTAAAGCACATTACAAGGAATAGGTATGAGAAAATATGAGGCATGTGGGGATGGATGACAAATACATTAGGATAGTTTTAAATGCATGTTTAATATTGTAGAATATTAACTTAATGTGTGCTACTTTTGTTTATACTCTGGAACATTTGTTTAGTGATGCAAAGATGTGTTTGATTAAATAAAATTCACCTGCAGTCAGGAGGCTGGGTCAGCAACTAGCTGACAGGAAGGAGGAGCCAGGTGGAGAAGGATTTATAAGGAGGGGTGGGGTTGGGGACAAGGACTTCTTGGGAGATGCTAGGAGGTGAGGTAGGTGAGTTGCTTCCTATTCAGCCTCTCTGGGAAACAGGGTTCTACCTCAACCTTTGAATCTCAATTTCTTTAGCAGGACAGAGATTTAAATAAGTTTTCTTAGTAGCTTTGAAAGAGTCAGGAACAGAATTCCCTCAGGCAGAATTCCCTCTTGCCACACCTTCTCTTCCAGCCTAACCACTGCTGGAAGAGAAGGTGTGGCAGTTGCTGAATAGGATAGCCATAGCATAAAAGGCCAAAACAAATGAAGAAAAACAAGTTTCCAAACTTTACAATAACGTGCATGGTGTTTATATTTTTGAGTGAGTTTGTCTGCAGAATGGGCAAATGGGCTTCCTTTATTAAAAGAGAGAACTCTCCCAAATTAACTTGGCAGGCTAAATCCCAAACTGCAGATAATTGAAAACAGAGGTTGAAAATAAACATGCTGAGGCAGCAGTCTCTTAAAGCAGAATGCACCATCACTGCACAATTATAACTAGGTTTACCAAATGGAAGACTGAAGAAGAAAGTGTCAGTTATAACATTCTAGAAAAAAATATTTTTAGCAGGACCTTATATACATGAAGACAAAAGTGGCTGTGCATCCCTATAATCCCAGCACTTGGGAAGTAGAGGCAAGAGGGTCAGATGTATGAGGTCCCCCTTGGCTACATACTGAGTTTGAGGCCAGTTAGAGTCACATGAGATTCTGTTTTAAAACAATAAGATAGCATACATAGCCTAAGTCATTGCACAGTCATCACGATAGTTAATAAAGACTATATTTTCTATGAAGATTTTACCTTTTCTTTTCTTGTTAGGGGCAGAATCATCTCAATGGAAAATTAGCAGTCACAGGGTAATGTTCAATTTCACTAAATTATGGAACAATTCTGTCCCTCTGTGTTATAAGGAGCCTTTAATGCTATTGCTGCAGGACAATCAGAGATTTTTCCAGCTCTTGGCACTTGAATTGCAAAGAAGAATATTAATAAGATAAAATCCTAGGGTGGGAAAAAATCTTTCAACTCTGAAACTCTATGCCTGGAAGAATCATAAGATAGCATTTTCTCATAAAGTCCCTTTGCTTTAGAAGATCCACAGTCCTGATTATTATTCAAACCTAATTTCAGCTCAGAAAACTTAAGTAAAGGACAATCTTCAAGTTCTGAGGATTATAAAAGATGACAAGAAGTATGTACTTTTGATAAAAAAGGGAGGGTGGGGGGAAGCACCAGGGGCAATAGCTGCCCACTAAAAGACAGCTCAGAGCAGCTGTCAATCAGAGTAACAGGGAGACAAGTCATAGCAAATCACTGTGTCAGACTCCTGGGCAATAATCCCGTTACTCTATAAATGCTGTCCAGCTAGAAAACATTGCCGTACCATAAACAGACATTATGACATTCTCAGTTTATTATTACATTTTTGTTTTCATTTTATGTTTATGCACTTATAAAGGCAACTGAATTATGCATTGTCCTTGTCAGGGCTTGAAACATAGCCTCACATTCATTTTATCCCTTCAACAAATATTTATTGAGCTTGCTATTTGCCATGCACCATGCTAGATTGCAGGACTGTTAGAGCAAAAAAGACTGAGACTTGATCCCTGATCTTCAGTAGCTTAAGGGCCAGTGGGGTATAAACTTTGGATGTGTATTAGAGACACCTATAGGGATTCTTGGGCTCCTTAAGGGTGACTTTCTTGTAGATAGTTGGATGAACTGATTTTGGGTCCAGAGCTTGCTATACTCATTCATTCATTTACCCCTTTAACATATTTGTGTTATGTGCCTGCTCTGGGACAGTTACCTCCCCTCTTGAGAGTAGCTTAGTAAAGATGCTGAATCATGGAATGGTGAAGAAGCTACTAAACACAAGTAATGGTGCCAAATTTTCAATAAGTAGATTCAAGCAGTGTTCTAAACACGCCAGGACTGATAACAAATCATTTAGCATGATTGATTCCAACTTAATAATGTTCATCTGTGTTTTCTTCTCCCCTCTCACCCAGGGTTGCCATTATGTTGCTCCAGACATGTCTGATTATTGAAGGGCTCATCTGGTCCTGGGGTATTATCCTCAAGTGCTTAGGGTGTTGGCTGGGATGGTATACAGTCCCCAAGTTTGATGCTTGTCATCCATTTCACTGGGGTCTGCTGATACCAATCAATGCCCCTCTCCCCTTCTGTCCTTGCATGGAGAATCTTTTCTGAGGCCCCTGATGCCTTCAGAGTTACCCCTCATGGACTTCCTCTTAGTTACAGAATAAAATTGAAGTCTGAAATTTCCTATTAGACGTTTACCCTTTCATCTTTCCTTTCTTCAAATGTGTTGTTTAGGCAAGAAAAATATTGTGCTTCTAAATTCTCTAGGGCTTTGCATTTCACAGTCAAATGCTAGGACATCTAGATTCCAATTCTCACTTCTTTAAGACATTATCATATAGCTGATTCTTTAAAATTGCTTTGAAGCTAAAAAAAAAGTTGACAATTTTTCTCTTAACAACTTAACCTGAGGGCAGTGATAAGGGAAAGGGTGGGTGTGCTAGTTATTCACCAAAGTAATAATATTCATTCTGTACACTTATAGTCTCTCTTTATTTCTGTGGGTCATGGATTCAGACAGGGTGCATAGCAGATGAGTCTTGGCTTCTCTGCATGTCTGGGGCTTCTGTTGGAAATTATCTGAAGTGAAGGGCTGAAATCATCCTAACACTAGTAAATGTGCTATCTTGGGGTTGCTGATGGCTTGGGGCCTTGAGGGGCAGTCAACTGTAAGATTCACACATGGCCACTCTATCCGTGTGCTATGGGCCTTATCACAATATGGTGGCAGAGTTACCAGGGTAAGATGTGTGTGTGTGTGTGTGTGTGTGTGTGTGTGTGTGTGTGTGTGTATGAGAGAGAGAAAGAAAGAGAGAGAGCGAGAGAGAGAGAGAGAGAGAGAGAGAGAGAGAGAGAGAGAGAATAAGAGAGAGAATCAGGCAGAAATTCTGCTTCCTTTCATGATGAACCTTGTAAAAGCTATTGCATCTTTTAACAAGTTAAGGCAATTACAAAAGCCCATCCACCAGTAGTGCTGAAGGGGAGGAGATGTGGCATGCAGCCTTGTCTCTACCTCTGACTGGAAGGCCCGTCACTGTCATATTAAGTATATGTGTAGTGGAACATGTATTGGTATATCCACATTTAGAAAATGCAATCTGCCATAGGGGGATTAGCAGAAAATATGGGCAATACAAAATGCCAGGGAACTGTCACAATGCTATTTTGTCACATAAGTGACTGTAACTGGCCATCACTATTCATGTGTGCAGGTGTGAACAAAGAGAAGTAATATGTGCAGTCAAGGAGAATGGAATTTTGCATGCTGTGGTAGGGGACAAGGTCTGCCCTAGCACATTTATAAATAGTTCAGATGTTGCTTCTCATTTGTTCTTTCATTTACTGTCTGCGATGGTTTAGTTTATGCATCAACTTGACTGGACTAAGGGAGACCAATAGAACTGGGAAACATTATTTCTGGGTGTGTCTACGGAGATGCATTTGGAAGAACACAGCATTTGAGTCAGTACACGGGGTTATCGCGATTGTCAGGTGATGTTCATAGACATCATCCCATCTATTCAGGACTGGGAAAGAAAAAAAAAGAGTAAGGAAAATTCTGTCTCTTTGTGAGGAAAGGACATTCACTGCCCCCTGCCCTTGGACGCTGACACTCTCATCATTAGTCCTCCAGTGTTAGAGTGAATCATCCCATGGACTTCCCTTTTCTCCGGCATGGGGCTGCACATGGAGGAAACCCTCCAGAATTTTGGGAGCTAATTATTGTGCTGGGTATCCCCTGATATGCAGATCTTTACACAACTATATACATCCTATTGATTTATTTTTCTGAAGATCCCCGCTGTCTTGTAATTTTCTACTTTCTCCAAAGACTGAATTTATTTATTCTTGATTCCACCCTCCATACCCAACTCCATCACAGAGTCTCCATATTTTGTCCTCTCTCTTTCCACATCAGAATCTAGTAGTCCAGTCCTGTGCTGGAGGATGAATTGAAACAACCAGGCTCTCAACTAATAAGAGCCATCTTTCCCCAAACAGAGGATAACACTGGTATGCAAAAGGAGTGATGGACAGCTACTTTGCTCTTTATTTTCTTCGAAATGAAATAATTTTATTCTGTTGCTCAAATAATGCATGTCTGAATTTTTACCACCTAGATTTAAGTATTGCACTATTTTGGCAAACATCTTTTTATCCGGCTGGGTGCCACCAGTTACACTCACTCACACATAGCTTCCTATAATAAGTAACACTGTACTAACAGTCACACGTCTTACTTTCTTATTCAATAGTAGGCGGTGTTTTTTTATTCCTGTGTCAATAAATATAGATCCACATCATCATTTTTATTGACTGCACAATATTCCTCTGTGAGACATACTGTAATTTATTTAACTAATCTCTATTGAATAATAATTATGCCAATTGTAAGTTTTTGATATTATAATCAATGCTTTAATGAACTTTCTTGTACATCCATTTTTATGTACTTATTAAAAATTCTCCTTGG